CTTACAGATAAGGCTGTAATTTTCCCCACTGTACTGAGTAGCAAAAAGCTTAAGTAACTTGCCTAAAATTACAAGCCTATGAAGTGACAGAGCTAGGAGGAAATAAGTAAGCAATAGATATTAATAAATTAAAAACATGTAATAGGATTCTGAATAACAAAAAGGATCCTAGTTTATTGATGACCCATGAGCCTAGGAGGAGTATTTGCTGGAAGCCAATACTGTTGGTTAGGATATGTGACAAATTCATGGCACCCCAAATCTTGAGCAGCTGTTGTTTGGTAAAATGGAAGAAATGCCAGAAGGACATATTTGGCAGTGGTTCCTAACTTTTCACCATGATAGACACATGATGGAAAAATACATTAGATGTTGTTGATTAGAAAGGCAAATAGTGATGATAAAACATCACTTAAGAGTTTTCAGAGTGGTTGTAAGAGGGAAAAATTAGAGATAGACAGAAAATGAACATTTAAAAAGGGATGGACATAGAGAAAGGGCAAGGGTTTACCTAGCAAGCCACATATGAGGAATGAGGAGCAATGCTGGGATGTTTGAAGAAGTGTAGGGATCTGGCCCAACTAGAGGCAGAGGTATGGGGGACACTAGAGGTATGGAGGACACTAGAAGTAGCACAAACAATGCCCACACAGTCAGCAATATAGTGCCTATTTCCTAGAGTTTATGATAGTTTTTTCTAATGAATCTGTTACAGCTGGGTTCTCCAACAAGGCTGCACAGCAGGTGGTGAGCAGCAGTGGGTGAACAATCAAGTAAGGGACGGGCCATTCGTATTTACAGCTGTTCTTTATTGCTGAAATATGGCCTGAGCTCCACCCACCTCCTGTCCACAGCTGCATTAGATTCTCATAGGAGCCTGAAGCCTACTGTGAACTGTGCATATGAGGGATGTAGGCTGCATGCTCCTTATGAGAACATAATGGACTAATAGAAATAAAGTACACAATGTAATACTAATTGAAATAACATGCACAATAAATGTAATGTGTTTGAATCTTTTCAATTCCCTCCCCCAACTGCTGTTGAAAAATTGCCTCCCTGAAACCATTCCCTGGTGCCCAAAGGGGTGTGTACTGCTGCGTTACAGTGTGAATTGGTCCTGCCTTGCTGAATAGAGTAGCACATTTGAATGACCACTTCCCAAAAAATCCTTGAAGTTGTTCTTAAGGGGTGACCTCTTGGTCAGTTATTTTTGTTAGTTACTGCAGTCACTGTTCACAGAAGCTCTGAAACTATATTATACATATTTGTAGGAACAGATACTTTATTGAAATTTTTTACTCCTTTCAAAGTTTATTAAAGGACTTTGGACTACCTCTAAAGATACACAGTTCAAGGGCCGGGGATTTAGTTCAGTGGTTCTGCAACCTGCCTGGCAAGTGCAAGGACCAGAGTTCGATCCCTGGTACGAAAAAAAAAAAAAGATACACAGTTCGGAAAATAATGAAAGAAAACTGAAGAGGATATAAACATCAATAAGGAGGAAATAATTTGCTGTTAAAAAAAAGGTTTTCATCTTTTTAAAATTAACACATTAATGGTACATATTTCAGGGATTCAGTGTGGTATTTCCAAACATGCACCCGTTGTATGTTGATCATATCCGCAGCCTGCATCCTTCCATCCTTCATCCCTCCCACTCTACCTCCCTAGTCTCTAGTAATCACTCTTCTACTTTCAGGCTGCGTTTTTTTCCAGTTTCCCCACAGGAGAGAACCTACTTATCTTTCTATGTCTGAGTTATTTCCCTTAATGTGATATCTTCTAGTTCCATTCATTTTCCTATGAAGGACAGTTCATTCTTCTGTATGAATGAACAATACTCAATTATGTATTATCTCCTATATTTTGTACTCATGTGTTGATAGGGACCTAACCTGATTTTGTGTCTTGGCTACAATGAAAAGATCATATGGTAGATCTATTTTTAGTTTTTTGAAGAACCTCAGTGTTCTCCATAGTGACTGTACAAATTAGCTGTCCATGAACAGTGTATAAGAGTTCCTTTTTTTCCACATCCTTGCAACAATTTCTTACATTTTATTTTTTTGGCACTAGCCATTCTCATTGGGTTGAGATGGTATCTTGCTGTGGTTTTGATTTGCATTTCCCTAGAGGCTATGCTACTGAGCATTTTTTCATATATTTTAGGCCATTTGTATTTATTTTGAGAAATATCTATTTAGATCAGTTGTCCAATTTTAGTTGAATTACTTGGGTTATTTGTTAAATTTTTTTGTCTCGATATTCTGGACACTAACTTTTGTAAGGTGAATACCTGGCAGAAGTGTTCTCATGTCCTGTAGGTTGTCTTTACTCTGTTGATTACTTTCTTTGCTCTACAGACTCTTTAGTCTGACACAGTCCAATTTGACAATTCTTGCTTTTGTTTCTTGTGCTTTTGTGATCTTACCCAGAAAATCACTGCAACAATATCTTGAAATGTTTCCTTTATGTTTTCCTTTAGCAGCTGCAGAGTTTCAGGTCTTCCATTAAGATCTATGATCTGTTTTGGGTTGACTTTTGTACAAGAGGAGAGGTTTGCCCTTTTGATGGATCCAGTATATTTACCACTTTTGTTTGAGCACAGTTTATGCCAGGTCAGGGTCAGAGAGACCCACTGTCTCTGTCGGCCACACAAGAGTAGGGACATTCTAGCAGTTCAGGAGCTTGGGGGTAGACAGCATAGTACATGTTGTGCTCACCAAGTGGCTGCTCCTCCAATGGGAGTGGTGGGCTCTAGGAGGCCAGGGCATTTCCCATCAATGTTGATGTGGGGTCTATTGCTTGTAAGGGTCTCTGGTACAGATGGCACCAGAGTGATGTGGAGTCTGAAGCTCTTATGCTCTGATCATATAGTGCTGTGAGGCCAGGTTCTTCATGTGAAGAGGCCATGGCAGGAATTGCAGCACCCTCTGTGATGCTCACCTGTCAGTCACACAAAATACAAGCTACCCTCTTTTAGCTACAGTGCCTTCCAGAGAGGGAATGGGTCAGGTCACTGCCAGAGCTGAGCAAAATTCCTCTCACAAAGCACTTAATTTTTCTTCAAAATGTGTCAGCTTGTCACCAATGCTTTTATATCACCCAGATGCTAGAATGTTTTCATCTCATGCCTCGCCTCACTACTCCAACAGGTCGGTTCTTGGTCTCCGGGTGCCCCCTGTGTATAGTGAATAGGTGGCAACATCTGCTCTCCTAAATATCACTTCTGCTCACTGTACTCAGACACTTTTTGGAGTCTTTTCTTGACTATTGTGTAAAAACTGAGTTCCTGAGGCTATTAAAGGATTTTCATTGTTTTACCTAAACCTCTTGTTTCGTCTCACAAGGCTTCATAAATGGCTTCCAACTCAAACTTGAGAAACCGAATCCTTGGGTAGATGATTAATTTGATGCTTCTTTAAATTAATATTCTTTCAATTTTAATTGAAATTGAATTATATTTTATAGTTTATTTCCTATTAATTTATATTATTTCTATTAATTACCAATACTATATAAATATATATTAAATACCTTCAATTAATAAAGGTCAATACTGCAACAGATTTATTAACCAATTAATTTCTTGTGGGAAAAATAAAAGTAGAAAGTAGATCTTGCCTCTAGAAAAATCTGACCTTGTGCTCTTCGGATACTATTCACTGGGATCTGGGAGTATCTTTTGGACTTCAAGATTTCTAAATAGGGCCACTCAGCTCTCAGGAACTCCTCTATGAAAAAAACCCAAAGGAACTGTTGAATAGCTGCGTTTTGTGCAAGGGATCATGGGAGAACACTGGAAATTAACAGTCACAAAATATCCCACATATAACCAATAATTTTTTTTACTGAGCAACAGATTTATTATTCATTTACTTAAAAAACATGTTTAGTACAAATGAGGTTATGTAGAAAGATAAAGCATAGCACTTCAAATTTTCACTGATTTTTGAAAAAGAGACATTTCTTAACTTGTAAAAGTATATAAACAGACACAAAAAACACCAACATCACATTTTTTTAAAAATTGGCAAGCATTATTTGGCCTTAGTAAAAATGAAGTTAAACTGATAACTTTTGAAATGCTGTGTTTTGTGAGATCTATCCAGAAAATCTACACATTAGTATAAGGTGTGTGGTGTGGGAAGAAACAGACCCTTAAGGTAGACAGGCATTTTTATTTAAAACTGCAATATTAAAAGTTAACTCTGAGTGCACTCAAAGTAGTGTTAAGTCATTGAATTGACAGTGGATAAAATTAGAAATGTTGAAATTTTTAGTTGCTTTGGTTCGTTATTACTATCACTATTTAAAAACTCGAGTCCATATTTTCATTATATGTAAATAAGATATTTGTTTTCTTCTATGTGGTTACCCTTCAAAAGGTAAAAATGTGGAAGGATAGAAGAGTAAGGAAAACAGTAACAGATGGACTAATATGTGGAAGAGAAATATGAGTAAAATAATTTAGCCCAACTTATATTCATTATTATTTAAATGGCATTTTACCAAGGGGTTGCAAAACCAGAAGGACATAAGGGCCTCTCTCGACAAATTAAAAATCTATGCAAAGAGACAATAAATTGTTTATGTGTTTCAGTAACAAAAGAATACAGGTAAAACAATATGCACAATAGTGTATTCCAAAGAGCTGAGAGAGACTGCTGTCATCAAAATACCACAAAAGAAAATGTGTGATCACATGCTAAGGGAGGTATAGAATTTGTCATAGAAACTCCACAAGCAGAATAACATGATACCTTCAGGGGAATGAGCAAATATTAAGGGGCCAAGAATAGCTCAGAGAAGGTCTTACAAGGCAGCAGACAGGGTAGCAAATTTTGACGATGGCTTTGGCTCTAACACTGAGGCATCAGAATCTGCTTCAAGGGCTAATAGGAAACCTCTGAGACTTGTATACAGGAAAATGTCTCCTGAGGCATTCATATGTTGTATAGCCATTATGTCAAAACAGCCTGTTGGGTTGAATGAAAACTTGATGAAACTCATGTTTATATTCACTTGGATCATATGGCCGTCTGGGGCAATGATGATCAACAGGAGAGGGTTTTAATAAATTACACACAAGGCATTTAGTTGCATATGCTACAAATTCTTGCAAAGCTGGTTCTCTAAATTTTATTCGTAAATAATCAACTAAATAGAGGCAGTCAGTACAGTGGACTCAGTTTTGTTTCCTCAGAATTTGTATGTTGAAATTCTGACCTCCAATGTATTTCATCTTGAATCTTCCAGTCTCCAGAACTGTGAGAAATAAATTCCTGATGTTTAAGTCCCAGTCTATGGCCCTTAGTTACAGCAGCCCAAGCAAAGTACATCCAATGATGAATAATCTCAGATACTTCATGAATCCTTTTTCTCCATCTATTCCTAAACTTTTCTTGACTTTACCTTACATGGGTGGCAGGCAAGCGGAGCATTTCAAATGTTTAGTTAGCATCTGTGAAGCATTTTTTTTGTATGTGTGTATGTATGTGTGTGTGTATGTAGTGTAATTCTGGTAGGAATATGTGACACAATGACCCATAGGAAGTATTTCAAGACTTTATTGAAAAGGTGATAGAAAATGAGCACAGTTTATAACCTACAATTAGGGTTCTTCTAAATAGTATACATATATAACTAATTTATATCTGTTAACCACAGTGGACAATGAAAATAAAACACTCCTTAGTAACTTTTCTTAAGGATAATCAATAATTTATTTCTCTTTTATTGTCACAGTTACCACGATTATCTAGCTACATGACCAATGTCACTCCATATCACAGGCCTACTGTTGACCTACACTTTACAGGGACAAAGACAATGGCCATTTATGTGTTAAATGTACAACAGAATGTTAAAAAGGTTTTTTTTTTCTGTGTGCGTAAGACAAGATGTGGCATGTGATTTATTAACAGGTTTGATTTAATATGTATTATGCCAGGAAGCAAGCATAGAAATGTTTTGGCATTGAGTTGTTATTAAAGTAGAAAATAAGTAAACTAGAGAAATAAATCCAGATTTTAACCTACATTAAAATAGGAAATTAATTAGCTCCTCAGTATTTTTGTTCAAGTATTTTTTGTTTTATTATGTTTTTTATAAATGAGTAATAGGAATATATCGTAAGTTAAGGAAAGACCTCAGCCAAAAAAGAAGGTACCAGTATATGAAAAATCAAATGAAAATTTACCAGGTTATTTTTCGCTTACAAAAAATTTAAACTATAAAGAGTCACAAAATAGATATAAAAACGCCACATTGAACGAGGCGATCAAACTCTACCCAAACTGGTAGCACCCTCTGGAAGGCAGTCGCTGGGGTCCACGGGGTCATACCGTGGTGACGGACAGGAAGGCGCTGTGCACCCTAGTGCCGTCCGGAGACTTGGCCCCGTGAGTCATCAGTTCCTGGATCGTCATCCAGTTGTCCAGGATTTTCCTGTTTCTCCTCCTCATCATCTTTTTGTGGCTCAGCTCCAGAATGCTAGGCTCCTTCCGGGCCTCGCCGGCGCTCTGCGGTGCCTCCCGCAGGCACTCCAGCCGGCTGCGCAGCATGAACTCGCGCCGCCGGCGCTGCTCCTTGGCGCGCACCAGGTGCTGCTTGCGCTCCTCTCTGCTCCAGTAGCGCCCCATCTTCAACTCGCTCATGGTGTCGTCGTCGGTGGTCATGCCGCTGCGCTCCTCCTTGATCTTTAAGGCACGTTCCTTCAGGATCCGGTCTCGCACAGGTCTCTTGGTGATGTAGCGGGTCCCGTCGCTCCGGATTTTCACCTTCCATTCCATCTTGGGCTCGGACCCCTTCTGAGGGTCCTTGCACACACTCACCAGACTGAGCTGGCTCTGCGCGTACTCCACGGCCGACTTCTGCTGGATTAATTGCATGTAGCTCTGGTAATGCCTGGCGTGGGTTGGGATGTTGGCGCACCTGTAGGAGGAGCTGTGGTAGGGAGAGAGGTAAGGGATGGGCTCGCTGCCTGTCTTCTCGGGGTCCAGACGCTGGCTGCTTTCCAGAAGCTTCTCCTGGCTTTCTGTGCTGCAGCCTTGTTCGGTGGCCTTGGCTCTGGTGGACATTGACTCTTTGCTGCTCTGTCCAGAGGAGGGCTGACGGGGGGCCATGGTGCTTCCCAGGTTTTTCTTGTTAGTGAGGTTGATCGTTCTGGGAAGGGAACTGTCCGGGGAACGGTCCACTGTGAGTGGAGTACTTCTGCAGCTTTCGGCTGTGTTGTAAGCACTAGAGCTGTCCTTGTCTGACTTTTCTGGATGCTCCATAATGTCGTCTAGTTTTCCTCTTTGCATGTCTAGGCTGGTGTTATAATTTCGGAATCCCCCATCGTGCAGAGCCCAGATGTCCCCATATGGGTCTGTCACTTTCTGGAGCCTGTGGGCCTGCATGATGTTCTGGCACTCCAGCTCAATGTTTCTTAGCTCTTCATTTAGCAGCTGTAGCTCATGCTCTACTCCCTCCTGCTCCCCTTGGTTGCATTCGATTGTGCTGCTGGCGTAATACAGATCACACCCTCCCTGGTTTCGGATTTTGCATTTGAGCTCTAAGAGCTGTCGGAATCGTTCGCACTCATCCTGGTTGCCAGTGCAGTCTGAGTCAATGTATTCGCCAGACACGAAGCTCTCATTGCACTGAAGTTCCAGGCTTCCCAGGGTGTCCTGGCTCTGCCCCAGCTCTCTCTTGCTGTTCAAAGATGTGGCGCTGGGGTCCTCGGCTGCGATCTCCTGCTCTGAGCTCTCCTCATTCGGCAAGCTTTCGTCTGTGCGCCCCACCCCGCTGTCCTTCTCATGGTTGTTGGAGGAGGATGTTGCCGTATCTGTTGTACCTTCTTCTTCTTCTTGCTTTTTTGGCTGACAAAATAAATTCGAGAGAACAAAAGAAGTGAATTACTTTGAAAAGCAATGGGGGTTGAAAAAAGTTGCTTGAAAAGCAATGCTTCTTGGCAAAGGTGCCATTCCTAGAAAGGTTCTCTAACGTTAGAATACCTAACAATTTTAGAAATAAAGACAATTAGTTCATGAAAGCTTTTTATGCAGTGAAAGAGAAAATGAAAGGTAAACACTTGCTTGGATATGGCTATGATATTCACTTGGGTATGAATAAGACAAGATACATGTAAATGAATTATCCTTTATTCCTATTTATTCTTATTGGGCTTTCTTTGAGGTGAAGGTGTGTAAGTGAAATCATTAACTTTTGAGGTGAAAAACAAAAGGATGAGTAAAACAGAATATCTTAATAGTCTTCAGCAATATGCAGGCCTGGATTTCAGAAGCCACAATCACCTAATTACTGTTTGACTGTTTTCCTAAACTTTCTTCAGGGAACTTTCAGAGGTAACCTTATTGACTCAGTAATATTCTGACAATAGTAAGCTTAACATCTCAAAAGTGCAAAGTGAGGTTAATATTATGTGTGGGAGTCCAGAATATTCCTATCTATAGATGAGGAAGATTAATCCCAGGTAGATCCAGCTTATTAGTGATAGAGAGGTGCTAGAAGGCAAATCTGAACCTTCAATGCCAGAATTTCTGTATTTTGACTTCAGTGCATCTCCAAATTGTGCTTCTCAAAAGCAACATCTTAGGATTTGAGTTACTATATCTATCTATCTATCAATCATATATATAATATATATATATATATTATATAACTTTCAACCAGTAATTTCTTTCAAAGATGAGTTTTAGTCTATTGCAAGTGAAATCAGCTAAGGCTGGACACACCCAGAAACTAATTCCTTAAATAACAAAGTTCGTAATTTGTTTTCCAGGAAAAGCCACCAAACCTTTCATTAGCTATTCTTGTAGACTGGAACCAGCTTTTTAAGAATGAGCACATAAAGTCAGATTATCTAGTTAATGATATCACAGGCTTCAGATTCCCTGCACACAACATAACTCCTAGTCAACCCCAAAGTAACATATGATCTGTGAGGAGGAATCCATATAATCAAGAAGCAATTTCTTCTCTTTCCTCTCCTGTAAATTTCTTGCTGCTATCTGTGTTGGGGAGTAAACACTTGCTCTGTAATAATTTCTGGGAACCAAGGTGGGACTTTCAGACCTTCAACGGCCAGTCTGAGGCTCTGTGGCTCTGGGCACAGTGTGGCCCTGGATGATGACCTCAGTGGCCATATGGATTTGACTTAAGTCTGGAAGGCTCAGCTGCCTGAATGTGTTTCTTCACTGCCATGAACCCTGAACTTAGCAATGGGCTCCAGGTAAGATTAGCCTGAGAACTGTTTATAAACCTCGTTGTTGTCCACACATGGCTAAAAAGGTTATGACACTGACTCCCAATCATCAATCACTTCCCCTCCTATATGAGACCAAGTCAAACCGACACCTGGGATGGATCGATTCATGTCAGAAGGGAAGAACAAAACCTATTTGGTTGATTGGTAATGTTTTCAGAGAACAAAAGGGAGGAATGTAAAAGAAATGTGAAAATTGGCAGAATCAAGATGGAGTCACTTATGTTAACCCAACCTAAAAGTAAATGAGGCCAGGAGGTTATGAAGAAAGGATTCTTATGCATGATAGCCTGATTATAATGATCAAAAAAGACTATCAGACTACAAATTTTCACAGAGATCACCACAATTTCTTGCAGAAAGTCCTTTCGTAAGGACATTTGTACAGCAACTATCTGTTCAACCAATGACCAACACCATTTTTGTTAATTACTGTGGCCAAAGATTATTGTTCAGAGTACCTGATAGCATCCTCTTCATTTTGTAAAAATTAATTTTATTGGTACATTTTAGGTATACAGCATAATGACATTCATCATTGGAAATTTGTACCTTTACATAATATCTCTTGGTTCTTTTTTTTCCCCCATTCCCCTGCCCTCCCTTCAACCCCTCCATCCCTCCCTATTTACAAAGACTTTGTGTTCATTGTTTCATTTTGAAAAACTTTCTCTTGATAACTAGGTTGCTTTCACGTACCCACTAGCAAGGCAAATGAGTAAATATGTGACACACTTTTGGCACTTCAGGAAAAACAGAAACCTGGCTAAATACGATCACCCAGATTGGATGATTACAACAACCAGAAAGAGAGTTCTCATTCTGTATATTCTTGTGAATCATTGATTGATCTCAAGTTACTTTTTAGAGAAGATAAAAAAGGAGGATTCTACTTCTACACACATCTTTCCTAGAAGATAATAACTCACACTGACTACAAGATCCCAACAAGTATTAAAAATGAGCAATAGTAAAAGGCCTTTGGTATAATAGTCCCCCAATCAAGCAGGCCTGCAGAGCCGGAGTGGAATCTCTAGATTGTGTTTCACTGGAGAATAGAATTGCCCTAGGTTTCTTATGGCCTAACAAGGGGAATCTATGCTGAAGTAAATACTAGCTGTTGCATAGATACTGACATCTCTCAACAGGTAGAATTAGAAGTATCCAAAATGTTAAAACTAGCATAAGCCACTAACGGGAGTCCCATCCCCTGATGCTTTGAGTAGTCTCCCTTCCCATTTTTAGATATCTTCAGTTGACTTCATGCTAGGCTGGATTCATTTCTGTCCTCTCCCCAACAGTTTATAATGATTCTTTTTCTAGGACTGAGCATCTGGCTTCCTTTTAAAATAATTCTTAATCTATTTTGATTGCCTAGACATAATGGTAGCCTTTCATTAATGACTCTTTCCTACCCAATGGGCTCATTCTTCTACCCAAAACTCAGATCCTAACTATAAGCTGGTTCAGCAGCAAGTAGAGCGATTGTTGTCCTCATCCTTCAGGACTGAGGAATGAACAAAGACAAGGGAGGGACTGACATGGGCTAAGGCCTGGACTGAATTCCTTAAATAACAAAGTTCTTAAATTGCCTTCCAGGAAGTTTTGGGCCTTCCACTAATAATTCTTACGATTTCAAACCAACTTTTCAAGAACAGACATGAGCAAAAGAAACCATTTCATCTGGTCAAAAATCCACTGCATAGAACATAACTCCCCAAAGAATCATTTGACATGATGTAACAACCAACCATGAAGTAACTTCTCTTCTCACCCCTATAAAGTTTCCCCCTGCAAATTGAGAGAAGCAGATTCAAGCTGCTTTTTAGCTCCAGGATTCCTTGCCAGTTGACAGTGCAATACAGCCTTTTCTTTTTGCAATAACCCAGGCCCATAGTATTGGCTTCTATGTGCCTCAGGCAAAGAGCTCTTGTTCACATGCATGCGCACGCATGCACACACACACACACACACAATGATAGTTCCAATGGAATTGTCAGAGACAATGATAAACAGACATGTAATACATATATGCACACATAGTGTTTATATAAATATATAGTATATACAGAGTCCACCAAAAATGCATATACACTTCAGGAAAAGAAAAATAGTATTTTTTTTTAACAGATGTTGTTACCCTGTTACGGGGGACCCTAGAGGATGTTGTGTATTGCAGAAAACCCACTACACTGCTGGCCCTTAGGGAAGAAATTGAAAATGCAGGTGCAGCAATCTCGGTGACCAAGGCCACCCAAGCAGCAGTTCCCTGTACTACTAAAGGTCTGGAAGCTGACGGCCACCACTGTGAGCGCCTCCTGTAATTGTAGAGGCCAAAGGTAACGGTATTAATCTCATGATGCCTCAATAAATTTAGTATGAAAGTATTTATACAAGTTTTTCTTTTCCTGAAGTATGCATGTATTTTTTGTGGATTTTTATATAAATATACATATATACTAATTTTGGCATTCCTACAGAAGAAATTGTCACAACACTATTGAGATGCATATGTAGTTCTTTCTCTGTAAATAAGGTAAAATTATTTTTCTCCTTTATCACATGCATCATGTAATAATCTACACGGCAGTTTCTAGGTTGCATTTGCCTTATAGCTAAGCATGCTCACTACTAGATATATTTTATACTTCTTTCCTCTGGCAGGTGTAACTATATAATTAAATATAATTAAGCCTATTAGTGCTAAAGAAAGATGGAATGGGTAATAGAAAGTATTCTAAAACAAGTCTAAAAGGCACTCTCTAGATAATTGCTATTTTTCCCACACAATAACAGAACAAAATGTGACATAATTTGGAGAGGAGAGACGATGACCATGTATCATGTCATTCTAGGAGCTTCAGTCTTTGCCTAGAATATTTTCCCCCATTTGTTAAAAACACACTGATTGATTTTAACTGACTTACTGATAGCAAAATTATAAGTAATTGTGACTGATAATAAAAAGCCTGTCTCACATCTCGGTCTCTGAGCTGACAAGAGCATGGCAAGGTCTGCACAATGGGCCATGAAACCTCCGAGATACAACTGATGCTGGCCATTTGAGTTGATGCATCATGCTATCGACAGTGATATTTTTCTCATATCTTGTAATGAACCAAAAAATTATGGAATGTCAGTATATTTTTCCTACTTTACATGTATTTTAAATGATACTGACAATTTATGCTACAGAAAGTGCTGTACGATGGTTCAACAGCAGCTATACAACCAAGGACACTCGGGAAGGTGGGCACGTGTAGGGAGATATATTTAAATTTTAAACTGAATTTCCCATTTTTTTGGTCATAGTCCTACAAGCAACTGTGAAAATAAAGTATTTTCCATCCTCAAACCCAGAATTTCTGGTTTCTAAGGTAATGCTAGTCTACCATTTATCATTTCCCTAAGGAATTATTATAGTGACAAGTAATGTTTCTAGCAAGACATTTCTAATGTGTATTATTGTTTATAAGGGCAAAAGACTTTTAAAGGCTTCTATACTTCTCATAATTTTTCAGTCTCATGGTGAAGAAAAATTTCCACACGATAAGAATCTATCCTCAGGGACATCGAACGTTACCTCAAAAGACCTAACATTTGTATTGCATCTGATGAGTAGGCAGCATTTGACACCATATCACTTCACCTGGACAGGATTTCTCCCTTCCTCTTTTATTCCAGCATCCTCCTGTCAATTCTGTATCAGGTCACATTTTATATCTAAGTAAGAAAAAGCCTGGAGCAAGGACTTTCTTGCTTATAACCAGCAGCTGCCACCAAAAAATATCTTTATTTGAGGACAGAGTTGAAGTCATACATAAAAATTCCAACCTCTCCTACCATATCGAAAACCAGTCACCATTTAACAACACTTTTGAGCACGAGTTACTATTTGTGAAGTGGACAATGAACATCCATGATCAGAATTTGAGTATATCAGCCGTGGCTATGTTTACACTGTCTTTTACAATCTAATGATTAATTTAATATATGGATGTCTGTGCACACATTTTTGCTATGCAATATTAGCATGTAAATATGTTTCATTATTCAGCTTGTATAAGTGATAGAATGTTTATTATCAATGTGCCTAAACCTGTCAGGACTTTAAAAAATGTCATCTTTTGAGTTACATTAAGAATTAATATTGAGAATTAGATGATAATTGAACAAATCAGTAAACTGACAGTGAAGTGTTAACAAAATTATATTAAGCAGATGAATGACAGGAGTTAGACATTTTAAAAACCTGTTACATTGGTTTTGTTTTTACACAGTGAGAGAATAACAGCAAAAGATGAAAAAACGTCCTAAGATTCACTTTACCAAGGCCACTGTGATCTTTTACTAGTTATGAGGCAACTAAGGGCCGGAACTCTATCCATTTTTTTGTTTGTATTATCAGTATCAAGTGTGGTTCTTGGAATACATTAGGATCTCAAGATTTTTAATTGATCGAATATGTGACTTTATATAAAATATCAATAATCTCATGTGTCAAGAGCCTTTGGACCAAAGATACTCTGTATGGTTATTTCAGGGGTAAAATGCCACAAAATATACAAGATTAAGTTTATATCATGTCATCATTATTCCATGGTTATAGCCTGAATATTCAAATAGGTAGGTACATTTATCTTTTAAAGTTTAAAAAATATTTTTGAAGGGTTATGTCTCTAGCTAGCATATTAAGAAACAAGACACATTTTTACTATTAAATTTTTCCAATTAGGTTGAAAGACTACCTGTTCAACATTTGAATATTATTGTACTATATTGAGGCTCTCCAAGCATCCCAAACTGGAAATATTTAATAGAAAAAAATTACCATTATAGAAATGTTTGATCAAACCCTTTGATTGTGTTTTTTCTCCATTTATGGTTTTGTATGAAAAAAAGAACTAGTAACATTTCACAGGACGTGGTTCAAATTGTCGGCCCTACCTGCTCCACCTCATTGGCAGTGTGCTGCATTGCTTCATTATGCTGTTCTTCCAACATCTCCAAGTTTAACTCCTCTAAGAATTCATTCCTTTCATCTTCCAGCCAGCCTTCATCCAGCTGCAAAAGAATACATTAGTACATTATATTATGTTAGCGAGAACTCATGCTAAAATAGGGTAAACTTAAATGGTGATGCCTGACCAGTTCCTTTTATCATACTGATTCTCTAGAATATCAGCCTCCTACAGTTCATCTCTCAGAGAGAAAAGGTGATACAAAAAAATTGGACTCTTAGGCCTTTTATCCTTTCCTGAAACAGAGCTACAGATTTTCTCTCATTGCTGAGTAAATCTCACAGCATAGAACATTACCTTCTTTCAAAATGTATGAAAAGCACACTGCATAATACACAGCTGTCATGCTCATTACCTCCAACAGTTCCTGTGTTAAAAGAACTTCAGTGCTACTAATAGGGCTATGAGACCATTGGGCTTTTTTTCTTTAACAACAGTCTCTAATGAGACTATTCACAAAGTATCCTCCACAAGCTGAAGTTACCCTCATCCAGTTTTTAAAATTTTTAAGCAGGTAGGCTTCTAAGTTAACACCACGAAAGCATCAACAGACAGCATTTGTCTATTTAGAAAAAAGCAAAATTCTAAGTTCTTCTCAAGGGGGGAAAAACAATGCAACTTCACGTCTGTGTCTGTCTGTCTGTCTATTTTGCTGGGGATTGAGCCCAGGGCTACATGCACAATAGAAATATGTTCTTATCACTGAGCTACGCCCCAGGTTCCCATCATGCCTATTTTGATTCATTTTTCAGGCACAATTACAAGGGAAAAGACCTTAGCCACTGTAACATTTGAGTGTGGCAGAGTGGTACAGACGGGGGCGGGGGGGTTGTTTGTGGGTGCTGGATGCAAGTATTCTCATGGGATTCTTACACGAAAGAAACTGAACAAATCCCTTTGGCTTTTCCATACAAAGTCAAGTGAAAGCCTGGTGATTACCTTGCTAATATGATTGGTGTTGACAGTCAATCCAGATAATATGTTGCAAAGTGGAATTTTGGAGCTGGATTACATAAATTAGCTGTCTAGGCTTATTAAATGCACTGGATTATTGTCAAAACTCTGCTCTATTCTGTGTTACAAAGAAACAACTGCTTTCTACTACTAGGAAAAATGGAGAGGTGCTTTCATGAAAAAACTAGAAAATAAACTTTTAAAGATAACTGAATTTCTAAAACGTTAATGCCAAAACAAACATGAAAGGACATTAAGTTACATGAAAAGAGACACTAGTATACATGTATCACATTCAGTAATATGAAGGCAAATCATAGATTTTGTGATGTCTATTAAGGCCATGTAGTACTTAAATTACCTCAGATCTAACTGGGGCCAGAAATATGGACACATCTATTCAACTTCATTTATCTTAATGCAGTCGGAATAACTTGACCAAATTCCATCCCACTGACTTTAAAGAGTCATGCAGAAGAGTTATGATAATTATCCTGACTAAAAATGAAAATTCAAGCCAATTTATAATTGTTTTAATTTTATAGTCTTTAATTTCTTTTAAGTGTCCTAAAGCTCCAAGAGAAAGTTTTTAAAGCTAAGAATGTTTGCTTTCTATAAACATATCAAGGATTCTTCCTTCAATCAGGTCAGAACAAATGTTTCCTAATATTGATACAATGAAGGGTGGGAAAGATAAGGAGAGCCAGGTAGAAATTAATGATCCCCTAACTCTTTTCTTATTGACTAACCCTACATATCCCTGAGTTGCCCTCTGTCATCAGTACATGGGTGCTTTGATAAGTTTCCCTGTTGGCTAGGGGTTCACTCAGTACAGTAAATAAGGGGAGATTCTTTTTGCTTGCTTCCTTTCCCTGCTGTATTTTCCCTTTCCACCTAGACCCTCATTCACTGCAGTCTGAGTCTAATCTTGCGGTGGAGACAGGCATGCCCTTCGAAATGAGCTGCAGGAAAAGAAGAACTGTTGTCATAATACCATAAGGATCTGTCTCTACCAAAGCAGACCATGTGTGGCATCGCAGAGAAAGAACAATGTACACTATCTCAAAAGTAGTGGTTACAAGTACTAGTGAGAGCCCTCTGTGCCCCAATGTCCTAAGGGGAATAGGACAGAAAAGCAATATCTTTAATGGTCTGAGGAAGAAAATGAGCAGGAAATGAAAGAAAGGTGACAGGGAACCAAGGAAATGAGTTATTTAAAAATATTGTGCAGATGCACAATACTGCCCCCAGCAACTCTGTAGATCATTTCCAAGAATCTAGACTAGTCGAGACATTTTAAAAACATGCTAGGAAAAGCACACAAAAGGCTTCTACATTGTCCCTGAAGAAGCTATACATATAAAAATGCAATGAAATATATTGAATTTTATGGGAAAAGATGGGTAATGTAAAGCCAATTTTTCAAAAATATCAGGGGGGGGCAGCTTTCCAGCATATACTGCTTAAATTACATTTTTTAAGTATGGTGTCAAAATATATTTTCTTTGCTGATTCCTCTGAGAATATCAGTTTCAGTAGGCAATTAGCTTTCTTCCAGTGGCATGAAGGCTTCTTCAGGATCAAGGGGCTAATGCAGATACTGATTTTGACAGGCAGAATGGCAGCCCATGGAGTCAGATAACCATCTTTTATCAACTGTGGAAAGCAAGTCTCATTGAAATTGCACCCTCCCACATTGACTCTTTTAGGGAAGAAGGTCAGGAGCACAGCCAGATATTCAAAAAGGCTGTTGGTTCTGCGAAGCATATGTATTCCATCAAAGATTAATAGGATCTGGTCTTATGTCATTAATTTCTATTCTTTCCTCAGCCCATTACAGCCCTTATATGATGCCTTAGTTCTAAATTAATGAGTTTCTCTAGCAGTTACATGAAAAGGGCATCACACATAAAGATATTTGGATTGTACATAAAGATATGTAGATCTACATTAACATAAAGATATTTTTTCCTATAACAGGGATGGCTACTGAATCCATTTCAGCTTACCTGGAATAATTGTATCTAGCCCCTTTATTCTGTTCTTTGAGAAACTATGATCAGTGGGATAACTGACTTGAGAATTTTCAGGTAATTGACATAATTTCATATGTATTTTAAAAATTAATTTCCATGTAGACAATCCAGCCAATTGTATGAGCACGTTTCCCTAGTCCTAAGACCTCAGGTGTGTAACTTTACTGTGCTCCAGGCTATGGCAGACTTTATGAGAACCAAGGGCATAAAGGAAATATATGCGGAAAGGGTAATCTTTTATAACTACTATATATTCAAGTCAGGATTCAGTCTGACACTGAAGTACACTTAATGTAATCTATAGATGGTATGTAGTTACTGGGTCTGAAAAATATCAGATCAATAACCTAGGAGACAAATGGCGATATAACTAACTTCACTGAAACTACTGACAGATGGATAGAATGGTGACAATGTATTGTCCTTTCTGCATGGTGGTGAGATATAAAAAGGATATAAAAGGAAGTACCAATAGTACTTTTCTTCCATCATTACCTCTCCTTTACTTTTCATGACATCTTTCTCTGTAAAGATATAAAAAATTCCTTTAGAAGCATCAGTTTTTTGGCTAGACAAATTTTTGTCACACTAAATTTGGAAAAAAGAACTCATTTACTCTATGTGGAGCCACACCATGCTATACAACTTTTATTTGATAAAGTTATTCCCAAAAGATTAAAATGATAGCTGCGTATGCTAATGTTTTTCTCATTAGAGACTCTTTCAAGGTACCTTAATATGCCAATTAAGTATTTTTAGATAGGAACCTAGAGTGAGGATCCATACAGAATTAAGAATCATGTAAAGTCAACCATTTTTCATTTGTGAATTCATTTAAATAACTGGCAAGTGGAAGGAGACCATAATGATTCAATTTTGTGTGCTTTAAAATTTTTCCTCAATGGGATATTTAGCTGCCATTCTTTGGGTACTATAAGGGGGGTTTGAAAACATATAGTACTTTTGATGGTGAGGTTAGCAACTTAGGAGGGATGTGTGTTGTATTTTGTGTATAGTACTTGGTTCTGCATATCTTCATGACAGAGACTGGATATAGAAAAGCAGATAATGAATATAAATTCATTCACAAACTGGAGGGAGTTGAGCCTCAGGAGTTTTGATCTCTGTTCTGACCTGAATCTCTGGCCTTGCAACAAGCAGCACGATTCTCTTACACTCCTCACTCGACAGCAACGCCACAGCCTCCTCTCGATTGTGGACGTCTTCCCCATTTATCTAGAAAACAAATGAAAGTGGCACATTAGTTTCCATTTCCACAGTGCTGCACACAATAAATGGCAAATATCAGCTCATTTATGGTAAATGTATGGACAGCGAAGCTCACACAATGGGCCCATCTTCGGCCCTTCCATGGAAAGTGCCTCCACTCAATTAGGCGCTTACTGTAAGAGGCCTATTGATCCCTGAAGGATGGCGGACATCAGAGGAAGCAGTTATGTTCATAAATGTCCAACCTGCGCCCTGGCAACATACATCTAGCGACACAATTAACCAGAGGCTGACAGCTGACGTTCATCTTTCTCCACGCAGAGTAATGGAAGTGTCACTCCAAGATAATAGCGCTGGGAGGAGCAGGACCGGCAACACCACAACTGAAATCCGTCATCCTGCGTGCTCGCTGCGAGCCAATTAGACAGTGGCAGTGCTATCTCTCACCAGGCAGCGCCCCCAGCCCGTGCTGATTGCATTCTTATTCAGTCACTTCATACGTGTGAGTCCCATCCAGTTGCTCAAACAGCACTCTCAATGCTTAAGTGATCAAAAGGAAGAACAGTTATCAGTAACATCTTCCTCGGGAAGATTCATCCACTTCCTAAAACAAGGAAGTTGATGCAATATTGTAATATTTAAAAGGTTAAAGTAAAATTGACTTTTTGAAAAAAGTGAAAGATGCTAACCTTTGATGAACTTTTGATTGCACAGAAAATACATGTTCTTTAGCCTGTTAGTCTGGTTTGCAATCTGTACATATGATAATTAACTTTATAAGGCCTTATAAATAAGCTGATGCTGAAAATAAAAGGGTTGAGGGAAGGGGGAAAAAGAATTGAAATGTGTTATGCACATGCACCAACTCCCTACAGTGAATTTAATCATTATGTTCAGCAAACATGTACAAACAAAAGTAAAAAAAAAAAATTCCAGTGGCATTTGAAATATGAATTTTTACTTTTTATGAGCTCTAAAGAGAAAGGAAATAAAGTTTCTAAAGATTGTATTTTATACATTTTCATGTTCACAGGTATTTTAGCTCTTAGTTAACTAACACAACTTTTTTTCTTTCGATATTTAAAAATTAAAATCTTTTATTGACTGCTCAAATCCAGAGATAATAAGTGCTTTGATCTCTGACATATAAGCAAAATGTGTGGAAAGAAATTTCAACTAAAGAGGAAATTCTGCCTAAAACAAGTATTACTTACTTCAGAGTATGATAGCAAACATAGCCACGCTGACCATATTTTTTCTGTAATTAATCTAACACCTTTTGCTATTGATTTCTGTGTAAAAGCATGAAGTAGACTACTGAGGTCCCTGAAATCTCTGTGACTGACTCTCAATTTTGGACCACAGTAAAGACCCTTATTCCTAGACCCTTATTATAAAACAAACAAACAAAAAACCAAACCATTACAAGTTCCATATGCATTTGATTTTTTTGCAATACACAAATAAAATTTGCCAAGCTTCAAAATAGAGGCAGTGATCCATATGCGGAATAATTATGGGGAAAGATATATTATTTTCATGAATGTATCTGTGTATCTGAAAAGGTCAGTGCTGACACCAAGGACTTTTTTTTTCTCAAAGGTAAATTTTGGCTGTGATGGATTCTAGTATATTTCCTCTACCTACTATTAAAGTATTTTTTTTAAATTTTTTTTTGGTATCAGAGATTGAGCTCAGGTCCTTGCGCTTGCGAGGCAGGCGGCGGAACCACTGAGCTAAATCCCCGGCCCTTAAAGTATTTTTTAAATAATGCATACGTTTTACTGTCTTTGACCATTGAGGGCTATGTCCATTTCACAGTAATCTGAGTAGTATATCTACAATGCATCCATTTGTCACACACGACCTAGTCATTTCATCTTTTCTCCACTCAGGGTACATTTGGTACTAAGTGAGTTGAGCTGGGTGATGTCACCTAGCTTATCTTCCTCTTTTCTGTTGGAAATAGAATTCTCACTACTTTTTTCCCTAGTCTCCCCGCAAATATACACATGCTTCCCCCTTCTTCAGTTAAATTTCACTTGCTATTAACCTAAACACTCATCATTTGTCTTAGTCTAATGTTGCTACTATATTCATTATCTCAGAATGAACTGTAACTTCTCAAAGGGTTGACTGAAATGGCTTAGTAAGTGCCTGACACGTAAAGTTCTCAACGTTGGCACAAATTATTGTCAACATCACACTATCACCATTAACATTTTAACCCTCAACAGAGCAAGACACTTCCCTGCTAAATAAAGTACATGTAATACAATTAATAAATAATAATTAAATCCATTGTAGTAATCCATGGATCTATTTAGAAAGCTATTTACCTGTTATGTATTTTAAACTCTTAGAAGGCCATCAAAAAATAAGATGGTTGTGTTTGCTTTTAAGTTCCCTTCCAGTTTGGTATTCATCTTCCTCATCTGTCAACTCACAGTGACCAAAGCTGTGGCCTTCAGTTCTGCCAATCAGTCCTTGTTTCAGGGGACAAGTCATTTGTTGCAAAAACATTTTTACATTTAGTATCCTACATGGAACAAAATGAATTTGCTACAGAAACCTGGCATTGAAATGTAATTTACTGTTTTCTTTTTCAAAATAAGGGCAGTTTTAGCAAACTGGTCTGTAGAAACCATTGTACTCAGGACTTTAGTTTGATACCCAAACAGATATAAGGCAAGATGTGTTTTAGCGAAGATGCCTCTCAAAGAAAGAAAAGATTTGAAGAATGAAATCAGAGAGAGCTTTCAACCTTCAGTTGCCCTTTTCCCTGAAATAATGGTTTATGGTTACAGGACTGCTTTTGGAAAACAGCTTGCTGTTCCTGAAGGCACCAGCAGACAGAGGGGAAGAACACAACAACCAAGGAAGGAGACAGATGACAAGTCACCACAACTTACTGAAGGAATTCTATTTTAGGAAAAGAGAGAGGAAGCAGGCCAAGAGAAAGGCAATAGGATAACATGGTACTCCTGTTATAAATGAAGGAAATCTTTGCAGATAACATACATCTCTCATTTCTGTACATAATCATATGCAAATAGTTTCAAAATAAATATTGTCTTTGTCTTAGAAGAGATCTATGGGGAGGGGGGGAGAGGGAGACGGAGAGGGAGATGGAGGAGGGCTAGAATTGTTTAATATAGCTTTTCTGGTTAAACATGATGATTCTTAGCTTTCCTGTGTTATTGTACCAGAGGCAGGTGGGCAATTAAAATTCGTGGCATTAAAATACCTGTGAAATTTCTTAGGAAAACCCAAGAATCTAAGAAGAGAGAGAGATTTACTTCAAATATATTTATATTTTAATATGGAGAGAAATAAGGTATGTGGAATATAGAGATATAGATGTGGAAGAAACAGAAACAGTGGGAAATAGCTATTGAAAAGGAAAACAATTTAAAAAGTACAAAGGAATGCTAAGGAGTAGTTTTTATGTAGGGCAGAAAAAGAATGGAGTTTATTAGAAGTTTTATTGTCTCTATTGTCAGAGTTCTGGCAGAGTTTTGTCGGGAAGTAATCCTTAGGAACATGACTAACACTTTTTGGCCAGCATGAGATGAGACTGCTTATGTGGAATATGACATGCTAACCATCCCAAAGAACAAATGAGAATATAGTGCTTTCTTTTTGGGGGAAGTTGATATTTATGTAGCATTCAACCTTTGCTGTGTGACTCAGAAATTCCTTCATGCTTGCCATTTTGTGTGAGAGAGCTTCCTTAGATTAGTTCTTAGGGACAATTTGATACAAGTTCCAGGCAATGGCACAGCAGAGAGAACCATCCAGCATTTGCAGAGAACAAACACATGAGCTCCAGAAATGTTTTCATGACATTAGTTCATGTTTGGTTTCCCTTCTGTGTAATCCTACCCCAGGGGTCAGTTTCCTATGAATGTGTGTGCATGCGATGTTGTTGGATGAGGTCCCCTAACAAGCTCATGGTGTGCTGCATGAAGAAAATTTTAGCTATACAATGAGAGGAGGAACATAAACATACTCTACTGAGGTCATCATGAACAGAAAACTAAAATCACAGCTGCTGTTCAGAGATATATTTAAATAAAAGCCAGCCAGGTAACCTGGAGGATAAGAAGTAAATCTCATCTCTCCCTCTTCCTTTCCTTTCTGGACAAGGAGTCATGAATTGTTCATGGCTGGGTATCTCATAATATCCTCACCAGCCATATGGGAGCTATTTGTCTATGGGTACAATTTTGTCAAAGTTTTATTTAATATAATTTCACCACCACCCTTAAGATACTTTGTTTTCTATATGTGCAGGCAGAATTGAATTCTAGGCTTTGTCATATATTAGGTGTGATATTTGTCACTGAATATGAAGTAATCAGGTAGCAAACAGCACTTTATCAGTCCTGCTATTGTTTCTTCAGTTAACCACCTCCACTGAGGAATACTTTATTATCTGATATATTTTTTTCTTCAGAAACTTATCTGTCCACAATATAGCTAAGAGTTTAGAAGTAGCAAAACATACAGTATCATGTATGAAAACACATGCATTTTATGTGTAGTCAACTGTACCCACCAAAGCAATAGAGGCTGTATCTGCATAGCCAGCCTACGAGAGTGGTTAGCTGGAGATTACAAGGGAAGTCAGTTGAAGGTACAAAAGGAGATCTGGGGTGTGGAGATTAGATGGTGAGAGGAAGTAGTGTCAGCTAACAGCAGCAAGAGAAGAGCAAGAAAAATGATAACACAGACTTCATACATCCAAAAATGTAGCCATCTAGGGTCACTTAATGTCAGGTCACCGAATCCCCCAGACCTTTTGGTCACTGTGCATTTTTACATGATTGTAGCACTGTGTAATGATTTCTGGGCATGCTACAACCCTAAGCACCAGAAGCTTGCATTGATTTTAGTATAATGAACTGGACATAGTAACAAAGTCAAAATATATTTAAAATTGTTTCAAAATTTCCAAAACAAAACATTTTTGAAACCTTTGCTATACCAAAGATAGCAAAATGGTACCCTTAATTTCTTAATGGGGCTACATATATCTTGTCTATCCTCCTTTCCACTCAATACCTTTGTTTCATTCATTGAATTATTCCTGTGAATGTGTGAAAGATACTGGAGTGCAGTGGAAAACAAGACAAGGTCTTGGTTTCCTGATCCATTATTTATTCCTCTAATATTCCCAAGACACAATTCTATTTTGTTTAACTACAAGTGACTGCTTACAAAGCTTATGGCACTAGAAATGACACACTCTTAAGATTTTATGAAAACTAGTGGGACTCCAAATGGTCAGTAATCCAGATTTATTCCTTCCTAATCAGATTCTTCTGTCAAAGGAGTTCTGTGGTATCCAGCTAGGGAGAGGACTAGGGAGAAGGAAGTGGTGGAGTTCAGTGACTGCCACCCAGAAGGGAGAGAAGAGAAGACCGGGGTAGGTGTGTGTCCCCAGCAGTGCAGACGCACCTCTGTTAGGGCATAGTCACCCTGTACTGGGATCATCGGTGTATGCCTCCATCTTTCCAATTTCACAGAGAGAGGGTGCACCAAAGGCTGGGAGGCATCTTGTCTATTTTTTGAAATCCTTAAACACTTTCTGAGGTTCCACATCTAGCAATGAGAAATGGGACCTCGATCTAAACTAGAAGTTTTCCCACATGTTTTAACCATCTGTATTTCCTCAATTTACCATTCTAGTCCCTTTCTCTGTTTCACAGAGGTGATCATGAGTGAACTCAACCCAGAAGGGCTCGTGTTCTTAGTTTGGGGTTGACCTGAAAACAGGTGGTATCTTCCTGCAGCAGTCTTGATGGAAGGACTTGGAAGGGATGGAGTAGGTTGAGGCGGGTTTGGGACAGAAACTTGGGCTTGGAACTGTCTTCCCAACTCTGTATCTCCTTTGCTTACTGATTCATTAAACTAATATTTAATCATTCTCTCTTTTCATCTTTCTGTATGGAGAAGAATTCACACTTTTCTCCACTTGGCCCCAGAAACTCATTAGTAAATAGTTGAAACATCTACAGACTTCTAGGCTTTCAGACAGTAAAGGAATATCTGGATCCATGTTCCCCTAATTTATTCTGGAAAGCAGCAGTTGCTGCTGCTGCTAGGAGTAATAGCCATTAATGTTTATTAAGCACTTATCATGTACTGTGCTAAGCACATTACATGCATAATTTCATGTAACCTTCACAACAAGAATAGGTTATATTGTTATTGCCTTTTTAAAAGATGAGCAAATGGGCTTGAAATGAAAGGAGGTTAGGTAGCTCCCCGAAGCCAATGGTGGAGCTGGAACAGTTAGCTAAAAACTGGTAAGAAAGGGAACCATCCTTACTTAAATGGTAGCTTTTGTTTTGTAGGTACTAATGTCTAAAAGCAAAGACAAATTCTTTTTTCTAACATTTTACAAGAAAGCAAAACAAAAACTGTTGGGCAGACAGTAAGAAACATAAGGAAATAATCACATCACGTACTTGCAGAATCCGATCCCCTTCTCGAATTCGGCCGTCTTTGGCAGCAATGCTATTTGGATCCACCTGTAAGGGAGAGAGGACACACATCATCAGCTGGATATGCAAGATCGTCTCAAGAAATTAAAGAGTTTTAAAACATATATTTAAAAATCTAGTACAAAAATTTCTATGAATTTATGACAGTATAGGATGCATTTTTCAGTCAGAAATCACTAATTCTAAAAATTTAACATGGGCTATTTTGGAGTTAATAAAATTATGGTGGACCAGAGAAGAACTTGATTTGAAGGCCCCTTTTCCATCCCTCCCTTCTTGCGTAGAAGGGATGCATTTGTATTTTTTCTTCATCCCCTTTTCCTCATTCACTCACCTATTTCTGAATCTCAGTTATCAGACATGGTCTTTAGACAAGGCATAATGTTAATACTAACATCCTCTGGTCCCAGAAAATTTACTTTCTATTACTAAGGTGATTTTTAAATCCTGCCCTAGCAGTATTAGAAAAGTTGATAGCTATACTGTAAGTCCATATTTCTTAAGGGAATTTCTGTTTTGTGTGCATATTATTACTCAAGAAAGAAACAAAAAATTCTATATATACATTTTATTACTTACCAATTTATATACATGGTGAAGTATAATAACTATAAATTATTTTAGAATAAATACGTATTTAAAGTGCTTATCAACATTTTAATGGGCCAGACTTAAGTAATGATGGCAGTTAACTGGGGGTAATTTGATGTGTCAGACTGAAAGTAGTGGCTTTAAACCATTCATTTAGGCTTATTTCATGAAAGCTTTTTCCTAAGCAAAGTATTTCAAGTGTGGCATAAGTTGATTCATCCTACCCAGATGTTAGATATCACTTTCTTATTAGTCGTGCTCCCCAATAGCTGAGTCTTAAGTGGTAAATCAAGCACAAAAGACACTATAATCATATATAAGGGAAATAAGGACAATATCCATTCCAAGTACATATGCTCAGTTCCTGTGGCTTCTTTATCTTCCTTGAATAGTGAAGTTTCAAATCTAACACTTAAATAGTAAGTAGAGAAGGAAGGGAAGGGTGATTGATTGTATCCCATTTAAAAGCTATTTACAGCCTAAAACTTTGTCTTCTCAACTATAATCAAACTGATACTAAACTACCTTTCTACTTTTGTACATACTACAAAAGATAATTCAGTAGGTATTTCCTCATACTTCCTCACCTTGGGGGGATTATCATAGTTGTACAATTAAAACAGGGTCTAAATCTCTTCTCTGGAGAGTTTTTCTTTGTAGGAGCCAGTAGGCAAATTCTTTGGTAAAGTGACAAAGAATAATATTTTACATTTGTAGATCAGTGTAGTTATCTTAGTGAATACAGTCTCTTCCATATTTTAAATAACTCCATAAAAGCAATTATATAAATGTTGTTGTACTAACTGTCTTGTTGAGGAAGCTGAACCTTAGAATGTTAGGTAATGTTAAACATCCAGGCCATGAACACCTGGAACAGGAATTAGTATCTAGCTTGTCTAGCCCTCTATTTACTGGACTTAGACTCCTTGTGTGTGTGTAATTTTTAATCATGTATATATATTTATCTATATAATTTTAAAAACCATACTTTTGTACTTCTAAAATAATCTTTTTGGCATTTTAAAAAAAATCACCTGTGATAATAAATTTTGTTTGACAGGCTTTCAAACTAATTAACATTAATGGTGTCTCACATTTAGCTCCTCACGTCTTAAAAGTAATTGTGGGGTCAAATAAAAAACAAACTCATAGATGTGCTTTTTGAATATTTAAATGCATCTGTCCCATCACCAGCAGAGAAGACAAGATTATTATGAATATTAACTTAAAATAATTAGGCAGTGTTATCCTTTCCAGAATAATAAAGGATGTAATGGGAGGACAAAGGTTTGTAGATCAAAACTTTGCTCAACTTCCCACACCCTGAGGAGGGGCATTCAAATCGAGACAGTGTTACCACTTTCAGTTTCCTGGCTAGGATTCTGTGGTGAAAGGATCCACATTAAACAAGCTGATAATAATTACATTACTTGGGCGGCACAATTCACTTTCCTAATTGAAAAGTGACACGTTCTGGAACACAGCCAATTCTTCACATTCAAGCGTCTGGAGGCAGAGTTTTCTCCTTGCGGGCCTTTTCACGTCATTCCTCCCCTGAGCCCTCCCCTCCTCAGCGTTTCTGACCTCGCTGACGTAAATGCCAGTGTCTTCTTCATCATCCGTCCGGTAGCAGACTGTGAGGCCCAACTTCTCTTGACTGTTAACCCGACACAACTCAACCTCCTGAGGGGATACACACAGAGGACCCAAGTTATTTCAGAGAGGCCACAGCAGAACACCTCACGGGTATTTCTGTGGTTGCCCCAAGAAGTTTTAATAATTACTGCCCAATATATGAAATTATTAAAATTTACCTTTACTGTAGATATCTCTCTAGCCAAACCAAGGTCATATATTCACGCTTTCTAAAAAGTTAATATATGACTACCACATATAGCGAGAACACTCAGTTTGGGGTGGCGCATACATACGCCTGTCACATCTCCACGGTTTTTACCCCTTCTCCCCTCCTCCTTTCTCTGATTCCCATTCCTATCTCCACAGAGTCTATCTCCCTGTTTCTTAACATGGCTCTTTCATTTTGCTCTCTAATTTCTTTATCTTTTGGGCCGCTCATAGTAGATAAGCCATGTGATGTCGAACTTATATTTTCATTGTGAAGCTGGAAATATATGAAATCACACAAAGTGTAAATCAAATATGAATAAATCTAAGCTGGAATCATATAGATTTTGAGAATGTCAAAGTAGACAGAAAAATCTCCATAAAATATTGAGAGATACTATGTTTTTATTTGAATTTTAATAAAATGATACATTTGCATTAAAAAGGAGACTATACTGGACTCTTCATTAGTCCTTCTGAGATCTATACACTGTGATAATAAGCAAGTGCTTTGTGCAGGTCAGGTCAAGGTTTTCCATTATTTTATAGAAAGTCTCACCCTTGGAAAGAAATGGGCTCATCTAGGCCGAAGGGAGAGACATCAGCAGCCATATGGGGCAGAGCCAATGATTCAAAATGCAGCAGTAAATGAACAAGAAAATACATTTACTGAAACACATGGCTAAGGGGCTTGAAATGTCAGACCTCAGGTAATGTACACTGACTCTATTTCCTGATTTATGTTCAGTAAGGTAATGATACATTTCAGTGTATTTCACTTTCATGTAATGAAACAGGCTTGTACTACTTTCAGAAGCAGATGACTGACTACAAGATAGATCACACAATTCCCAACATTGAAACACAAATTGACGCTCTCATCATGGAGAAATTGCTTCTATTGGGTGGAGAGTATAAGACCAGTTAGTAAGCAGTGAGATGAGGAAGAGCACAGTATATTGTCTGGATCAAGTTTCTAGAACTCAGTTCTGTGGGAGTTGTGAATGTGTCTATCTTCTTTAACACTTTTTCTTGGAGACGTTTCCTGCTACAGGAATAGTCTCCATATGGGGACTCAGTAAACACTGGGAAGCGGTTTATATTCAGCTCAAAATCTTTCTTAGTGTGTTTAGCCTTTTGCCAAACAATAACGAAGTAGCTTTTCCTCTTTGATTGTAAATAATGTGTGTGTGTGTGTGTGTGCAAATTATGAAGTTTAACAACAGAGTGTTATGGTCTAAATGTTTGTGTTCCCCACAATTCATATGTTAAAATCCTAATCCCCAAGATGAAGGTTCTAGAGTGGGGCCTTTGGGAGGTGATTAAGTCATAGGGCTGAACTCCCAAGAACGTCATTAGTGCCTCACTGAAAGTGTAGTAAGCTAGCTTGCCCCTTGTACCACATGAGGATAGGAAGAAGATACCCTCTTCAAGGAAGTGGGCATTTCCCAGACAAAATTGATGGTGCCTTGATTTTCTCAGCCTCTATTACTGTTAGAAATGTTTCTTTTGTTTACAAACCATCCCATTTTACAGTCTGTTTTTCATAGCAGTCAGAGTAGTCCAAGACATAAAGTATCTATGTAACTGTCTTGGCTCTGAAATAGTTACCAGTACTAAATAAAGAAAAATTCACTTAAATTCAAACATGAATACTTTCTAGAACACTCTAGTACATTTGAAGATATGCCCTTCCCTTCAATTTCAGTGCAGTCCTTGTCACTGGATATAAGTATTTATTTTAATGATATGCTATAAACTATGGGTACATTCTTAGTGAGGGGATTTGCTATCATGAACTTTAGAGCCCAGTGAATCATAGCCATTATCAAATGAAACTTACTTTAAGGCCTCTATCTTGAGACAGGTGCTGCAAATTAGTGAATCACATGAAACTCTGAAGGTGGCTGACTTTCTGGCTGGTAGGCAAAGCTATTCTTCATTTTTCTATAGTGGTTAGAAGGGGCATGGTACATGCTCAACAGTAACTTAAAAAGGTGGAGAGTCCCTTCACATAGATGGTGAGTAAGGAACAATGATGTGACTTTGCACCAGAAGCAAAAATGTACACATCAAGAAAGGGTGTTTTCAAAACTGGCAACAACTAGTTCCCCTATAGGGAAAGAAAACATGACTAAACCTGTGCCCTTAGGAAGGACTTAACAGCAACAGAAGAACTTTCATTATAGCAACAAGGTATATAGTGAGTAAAGAAACCTGCAATTCCTAAGAGACTCATCGGAAACCTAAACACTCCATAAAGAACTAACATCGGGGCCTTTAAATCAAGGCAAATGAACTGTACTCAAAGCTAAAATCCACGGACTTTTAGTGTCCTGCCAAAGCACAGGAGAAACAAACTCTCAGTACTATGAATGGACAGTCTGAGCGTTTTCTCCATATTCTCAATAGCTTCCCTTGATCAGTACTGTATATGTCAATACTATATATTTATGTCTGGTTGGAAGATGTCATATCAAACTGTTTTGCTATACAATAGAAGGAATCTATTAAAATGAAAGAGGGGAGAATCCACCCACAAGGCTTTAATGCCCCAAATCAAAGCATCTATCCAAGAATCACAAAGGAAAAGAAATTAAGATCCTGAGGTCAAAATAACTTTTCAATATTGTCATCCTGTTGAACCTAAATAAAACGGAAATGGGTCAGGTTTCAATATTTTCTTTCTAAATCTTTGTTTTCTATATCCCTTTTTTTAAAGACACTCAGCACCCTTATATGCTCAGCAGCTTCGAGTCCTTGAGGTCTGCCTTTCTAGGTAAGTATTTTAGCTTTGCCATTTTACGTATTGTAATGAGCAAGAATGACCCCAAACTCCCAGGGGCAGGGGTTTTGGAAAGTGATTGGATCATGGGGGTGTTATAGCTACATATGTTAGGCAGTGGGGGCCTGGTCAGAAGAAGTAGGTCACTGGGGACATTACCTGGAAGGGTGCATATCCCTCCCCTGGTCCTCCCTTGTCTCTCTGCTTCCTGACTGCCATGATGTGAGGAGCTTTCCTCTGCCAGACCCTTCCACCATGCCATTCCTGCCCTGGGAGCCAGTTGACTATGGCCTGTAACTGTGAGCAAAAATGAACCTCTTCTTCTTTAACTTGTGAGTGTCCAGTATTGTGTCCCTGTGGTGAAAAAGTGACTAAGACACCTACCCCTGCCAAAATCTGGAATTTGGTGTGGGCTTTCAATCTCTCGCAAGTGACTTTTAAGATGCAAATGTAATTGATAAATAAATCTCTCTTTAAAATCATTTAAAAAGTGACCCAACAGAGTTCAGTTTGTAGTAGTTAGGGCTAAAAATACAAAGTCTTAATTTAAAGCACTCAACTTCATAGTGGAAAGATTTCAGGCACTGAGGGAACCCAAATGAAGTTGTGTAGATTCCACAAACTACTGACCACCAGTCCCAAGTGTGTGCATTTGCATTTCTTTATTTGATTCTGCATGTCTCACAAATGATATATTTCATATTGGCACATCGAAGCATATATTTTAGAATCAAAGTTCCTTTAATTCTATGACAAAGTAACTTGTGAAAAGCTACCTGTGGACCATTTGTTTGAGGCAAATGTGGCTTTGCAGACTCCAATTGTCTGAGAGGAATTTTCCAGCACAGGTACAATTAAGTGTTCCCCTCACGGTGCCCACCAGCCTCTGACTTCTGAAGAAACTACCTCCTGGTAATAAAGAATGTTTTCCCTAACAACTTTCATGCTTTTTCCTGTCGCTAGGAAGCTGTTTGATGAAACACATAAAAGTGAAATGCTACCTCTGTGCATTTTCTCTGTGGAGACAATTCATGGGCGTACACAAATCACAGCCAAGCTTCATCCATAACTCATCACCAGGCAGGACTACACTCACTACAACTTCAATGTGCTTCAAGATGCTGTGCTCCGGGAAAGTGTATAAAGTCACTCTAAAACAAAATCAAAGTGTGGAGTACAATCCTGTGAGAAAGTGATTATATGTAATTTGAGGGTGGAGTAGAAGATTATAGGTAGAAAAGCTTGCTGTGAAGCATCTTTGTCATCACTAAAGGACAGGAATGAGATTTTTAACAATGAGATATCATCTCGCCCCAGTTAGAATGTTTACTATCAAAAATACTAAAATGACAAATGCTAGCGAGGATGTGGAGAAATGTTGGGAATGTAAAGTAATGCAGCCATATGGAAAACAGTTATGGAGCTACTCTAAAAAATGGAAATAGAGCTACCATGTGATCCAAAAAATCCCATTCCTGGGTAAGGAGGAAAGAAAGGAAAGGAAAGGAAAGCTTTATGTCAAAGAGGACTCTATACTCTCATGTTTATTGCAGCACTTTGCACAACAGCCAAGATATGGAATCAACTTGGGTGTTCACTGATGAATGAATAAAGAAAATGTAGTATACATACACAATGTAGTATTACTCAGCCGTAAAAATGAAATGCTGCCATTTGTAGCAACTAGATGGAACTGCAGGCCATTATGTTAAGTGAAATAAGTCTGGCACTGAAAGATAAATACAGCATGCTCTCGCTTATATGTAGAAGGTAAAGAGTTGATCTCACAGCAGAAGTAGAGAGTAGAATGGTGGTTGGGAACTTGGGAAAGGTGTGTGTGTGTGTGTGGGGAGGATAGAGAGAGCATGGTTAACAGATACAGGTGTGCAGGAATATACTGAATAGGAGGAACTATTTCTAATGTTCTATAGCATAGTAGGTTGGTTTTAATCAGCAACAATTGACTGAATACTTCAAAATACCTAGCACAGAGGATTTTGAATGTTCCCAAGACAAAAAAATTATGTCTGAGGCCAGACAATTAATTACTTTATCATTAGACATTATATACTTGTATTGATACATCATAAATAGATATACAATTACTATATGTCAATTAAAAATAAAATATTTTTAAAAGACTGATATTTTCATAAATGGAATGTTTGTATAAATTGTACTATAGTGCTGTGAAATGCTTATGTATTTATAAATTATTGAGTCTAGAGAGAAACAACTTTAAAAAATCCAAAGCACAAAACATTTCTGCTCTCTACACATGATTCTCTTGATGGAGAAAGTTACAAGGCTTGCAGCTGCCTGTAATGGATTTTTAAGCAAATTGCTCCTAAACCCTAAAGAATACTCAGGCCCTTGGCATGATATTTTTCCTCTAAGAGAGCAAATTTAGAGACAGTTGGCACCACGTGAATCTGAAGAATAACCAGGGCTAGAAAGTACATTCATTTACAACAGGTGACTGCTGGAGCAGAGTGTGGTTTACTGTGGTCACAACTTTATTTTTATTATTTTCCTGATTTTTAAGTAACACATGTAGTTTTTACATAACTTAACGTTCATCATTATCAGTGTCTTATATTTTCCAGTGTCGATTAGTAATGAGTGTAATGTCTGATTAATTGTTCCAAGGAAAAAGTATTTTTAAAAACACAAAGGAAAATGTGAAACTTTAGCCCCTACTAACAAGGGATGCCTAGTTTGCTATAAAATATTGCTTTAATAGAAACAAGGTATTAAACTTAGAAAGAAACAAATTTTTAAAAAACCTCCTAGAATACCCAAATCCATATGACATTTCATTCCAACTCCAGACATTATTCTTAACAAGTTACTGCAACAGTAACTAAATCAGATTTCTCTAGATATAAGGGGAAAAGTTAAAACTGATGGTCATGTCTCTTCACTAACATCCATGACCCCAATTCCTTCTTTTCCACTGGTATGGTTCTGAAATACAAGCAGCTTTAAATCCTTGATTTCCTCTTCTTAGAATCAGAGACTATGTGTTTTTTGGAAAACAGGCACAAGTTGACTACTTCTCAATATGGGTCATGTAGCATTTTAGGAGATCTTAAATGACCGAGGTTAAGTGGATTTCATACTGTGATAAAAATATTAATTTTATCTATACTGATTATTTGGGAGGCAAAGATTCATGATGCTGTTAATAGTTAATATTATGAATTTTGCACTGGGAATAAAAACAGGTGATGTGAAATCAAGATAAGTGAGAAGTAGTCCATAAACTTATCATTACTTCTAACACCCAAGAGCCAGGCTGACTACAGGGAAACCAGACTTAGAATGAGCTCCACCCACTACGAATCTATTTGCATTAGATGTGCGCCCCCTCATTCCCTCATCTATTTTAATTGCCATGTCTTCGAGAAAATTTCAATTACTTTTAGGAAACCATGTGATTTACTTTTGTAAGAATTCAGAGATCCAAGGATTTTCCCCATTGACTCTTCTGTTTTGAATGAACATTAAAACCATCATTTGTTAGCTTTCTATGACACTTAACTATCTATCCACAGTCATCTGGGTTGAGATTTCATTGTTTTTATGTTAATTCTTGGGAGAACCTCTTCAAAATAGTTTAATGTGCCATAAGTGATGTGTAGGAAAGACCATTCATAAAATGTCGTTTCCAAGTTGCTTTACCTTTAAAATAGCCATTTTCAACACTGCACTCTCTGAGGCCATAGATGCTCTTGTACTCCCCGCTCTTGCTCCTCTGCTGTCTCTCCAAATCTTGAACCTACAGATCTTCCACTTTTCACTGTGAACAATTCCCTTATATTCTCACCTCTCTCATTATGCTGCTTTGAATCCAGTTAGGTATAACCAAGTTTTATAAAAATTCACAACTATTTTTCTCTTGTATCATCCAGACAACGGTCAATTGTGGTTAAGTGTCAATATTCCTTTCTTTGTGCTCCAGTATGAGCAAATTCCTGGTCCTGTAGAAAATGCATACCATGATGACCACCCTGACACTTTTCATTGTTCATTCATTCTACAAATCTCCAATGGGCAGTCAGTGCTACTGACAATCACATTACACTTCCCTTCGTAAGTTAAGTTTCCACTTTCTTTATAGTAACCACCACAACAAAAACTAATACAATATTTCCTCTTCTTAAATTTCCAATAGAAACTGCAGTTTTAGTTAATAACCTCACCTCATGGTTCACTGGTCTACTGGATTACGCCATTAGGTGGATTATTATGACCTTAGCTTTCTACTCTCCCAGACTGGTATTTCATATCTCTTCTTTCTGCAACTCTTCCATGATATCGTCTCCTCCTCACACTTATCAGTGATCCTCTTTCGTACTTTAAGAAGAAAATATAGTGGGCTGGGGATTTAGCTCAGTGGTTTCGCCGCCTGCTGCGAAAGCGCAAGGACCCGAGTTCAATCCCCGGTACCAAAAAAAAAAAAAAAAGAAGAAAATATAAAGCCATGAAATGGAAAGTACTACTCCTCTCTTCAGTCAGGGTGTCTGTGTACATTCCCTGTCTCTACCACCATGATGTCTTCCTGCCACAATGGAAGAAAGGTCTCCATCCCACCCAAGGGAAATGCTGCCACCTGTGCTCTGTAAAACATTTTTATTTTTCAAGAATTTCTCATGTCTTTCTCTGGTATCATTGGTTTCTATTTCTTGATCATTCCCACTGATACACACACACATTACAGGAATGTCACTCATATAGGGTAGGGCAGGAGGAAACTTGAAAGAGGTGCTGGCCAGCTCTACAGTGGAGGCCGTGTTGGAAGAGATAATAGAATTGATTTTGGTGTTCACCTAGAAGACTGAGTTTCCGAAAAGAGAAGCACTACCCATGCAAAGGAAAAGATCAGCAATAGCATATCACACTGGAGAAGTTTTAAGTATTTAATGTATGTGGAGCTAAGAGTTTAAATTGGGCTGGGTGAGAGACTACGGTGAGAAATCCAACTGAAGAGATAGGCAAGGGCCAGATCATACAGGACAACCACCATATTAATTAATTTCAATTCTTTGTTGTATTAGCTTCCCATCACTGTGACAAAATTAACTTTGGCTCATAGTTTCAGAGGTTTAAATGAATGGTCCCTGGACCCTGTTTCTGTGGGCCTGTGGCAGTGTAGGACATCATGGCAGGAGTGTAGGGGCGAAAGAAGCCTGTTAATTTCCTGGAAGCTGGGAGGATAAACAGAAACAGGCAGCTGCGGGTCGAAGCAGTCCCTTTAAGGCATGGCCCGAGCAACCTTTTCCTTCCATTGGGCCCCAAGTTAAAAAGGGTCCACCATTTCCCAGGAGCCCCAGAGGCTGGGGACCAAGCTTCTCACACAGGGGCATTTGTGAGACTTTCAATATCCAAACTGTTACAAGTATAAAAACATAAGAAGTTCTAAAGGAATGAAAACATCCAAATTTGGAGTTTAGAAATATGACTTTATGAGCATCACCATTCATGAGCTGGAGGGTTTGAGAGACAGGAAAGCAAGTTGGGGATTTTAGCAGTTCATGTGAGAGAGGATAAGGGCTGCAGAGCATACAGTCCTTTCAGTCCTTAAACACAGTTACTGTTACTTCCACTTTATTGTGTGAGTAGGCATTTGGCTGTTAGGGTTATTATTATATTCTGCAAACCTTACACATAAAACAAAAAAAATTTGTTCTTTAAGAATGATCCTTTCTTATAGTTTTTCTTTATATTTCTAGTATCAGCATTGTTCTGGGGGCCTTTGAAAAGCCCCATGCACATTCATTGGACAAGTTAACTGCTATAGTAAGGTTAGATGTAAGGTCTAATTGCTTTTGCTACATTTGTCCTGCAGTATAATTATATTAAGTAAAATTAATTCAGAATACTGTGCAAACAATATATGTCACTTAGGCTCAAAGTCAATGCCAACAGAAAAATAATTAATAAATGAACTGTAAAAATAAAGTAAAATTGTATGCAGAAGTTGATCTAAGAATTTCCCTAGCAGATTCAGTTTTCACTTATTCACTTTCCTCATGTCATGTTTTCTTAACATCCACTATGTGCCAAGGGCCACATTCAGGATTGGAAACAACATCTCCTTCTCTTCTTCCTCATTCATCTTCCTCTTCCTGCTCCTCTTCCTTCTCCTTCTTCCTCCTTTTACTCCTTTTTATTCTTCACCCTTCTTTCTCTTCCTCCTTCCATCTTCTGTTTTCCCTCTTCTCTCCCCCACCCCCTCGTCCCCTTTTTTTTTGGTGATACTGGGGACTAAACCCAGGCCTTCTCACTGAATTATAACCCCAGCCCTTTTAAAAAACATTTTGAGACAGGTCTCCCTGAGGTGCTAAATTGCTCAGGCTGGGCTCAAACTTGTGATCCACTTTCGACAGCTTCCCAAGAGTGCTAGGGTGACAAGCATGCGCTACCATAAAACCTTTTATGGACTAGTCCTTTTGTTAAATGTCTTGCAAATAATGTCTCATTTAACCTTATAAAAAACTAACAGGGCAGTATAATACAGAGTAGTTATTTTTGGCCCACTCAGCACTCGTTCACTGTCTTTTTTGGAAACCTGACCCTAAACTTCTTTTGCATAATTATGCCTTCTGCTTTCCCTGTGTGTGTGTGTGTGTGTGTGTGTGTGTGTGTGTGTGGTGTGTGTGTTTAGGGCTGATTCTAGCTCTAGGAGTGAGTGTAGGACCTAGACATTGGCCAATGAGCCCATTGTATTTCCCTAGCTGTAGTAATTATTTCAGGAATGAGTATTTGATCCAGTTGAAGTCCACCAAAATCAGGAGCAAGGCTTTTTTTTTAAAAGTAGAAAAGAACACTTATCTCTCCTGTTGCATTCGAATTTATAGGAATGAAGATTAGAAGTACAGTAAATCAAAGCATACCTTGGCACAATATATAGGGCATGAGGACAGCTTCAACAAAGAGAAGATGAAATTCAAAAGATGGAGAAAGACTCAAGATCAGAAGCACTGTCTGAGCTCCCGGATCAAGGTGTATCTGCAACAGCAAACCTTTTGAATTTGCAGTTAAGACATCCACTAAACCTCCTTTTTCTCTTCCTCTCCCTTCCTCCTCCTCTCTTTCCTTTTTTCTCTCCTT